CTCAAAAAATGATATTGCAAACCAGGTGTGCAATTTGAAGGTTGCGTGCGAGAGTCTGGTCGAGATAGACTGGTCTTTAGGTCAGTTGAGGCAGCAGTCGTAATACCAGTAGACTCTCGTAAACGAGCATTCTCTTCTCGAAGCGTGACAAGTTCTGCCTGAACACGACTCATCTCTTCATCATGCTCAGCTATCACGTCGTCCAAATCTGCATACCACTAATAATCCTTTCATGCAATACCCGCTTTATCCGATGCTTACGGTAAGCATATTTATGACTGTTGCTTAATAAATCAATTTATTACTCATATAAACGTTGAAAATAATCAGTTCGCACCTCTTTGTTTACGTCGGAGACCATCAACAGTTTTCTGGCTGTATGCGAGAAGAGTTTCGAGACGAGCAAGCCTATGTGTTAACGTTTTTGCTTCCAGCAACTGCTCCTCTAGACTCCTACATTTCGCCGCTAATTTCTTGCTTTCTGCACTAAAACAAAATCAGATCAATATTAGAATTTCAAATTGATTAAAACAATCCCTTAAGTCCCTAAATCGGCTACCTTCAGCTTCATCAGAATAAGATTTAATCTTAATCTGTAACGGTTTCAAAATGAATAAGCATGAGGAAAAACGCAAGTGAGGACGGACCAGTCACAAATGATCATCACTAACAGGATATGCAAAAAGCTCAAAAGTCCAAAAGACGCAGCTGATGTGACCAACAACAAACAACGACTTACTTGCCAGCCGGAGCTTTAATACTTTTCAATTCCAGTTTGGCTGATTTTGCTTCTTTACGCGAAGCTCGAAGTTCACTTCTCATGGCAGCAAACACAACTCCAATCGAATGATCCATCATTGCGTTATCAAGTTTATTGACATCCGCAGCATTCTTATCATGTGTCCAATCACGTTCTGCCTTCAACATAATCATTGCGTACAATCAATCGTGTACATTCACTCCTTAAAAATAAGAACTGACCATAACTTCTTCGAACTGCTTTTCTTTAACGGCCAGCCGGAGAACGGCTAGATTTTCACGTCGTTTCGCTACCTTCAGCTGTTCTTTCAGTTCATTTATATCACTGGATTTGTTTAATTCTTGGCGTGAGCGAGAAGTGTTGATAATCCTTAAAAAGTCATCCATATCTCCTGTTCATTGTTACTATGAACGAATAAAAACCAAGTTCTGTAGTTCTTGCTAAATCGTTTTACTATTTCAAATTTAACCAAAACCAGTCATACGCGTGTATATAATTGGTGAAATATGTCATGTGTTTGAAACTCTTCAGATATATGCTGAACTTATAAGATGAACGTATCATTTTAATTCAAAGGAATATTCCGCAGAAACTTATCAAATCTAAAAAGTTTAGAGTGATGGATAACTATCCTAACTTTTGGATAAGTTCTTCTTTCGAAAGTGATTGGAGAGTTGTCAATAAATCATTTTCGCCATTTTTTGAAGGTGCCAACGATGAAGCTACATCAGCGCAAGACACAGACGCTCCTTCCATTGGATTAACTGCTTTCCTGTAATTCACGTTCAACATAACGTTAATCAAATAATAAGAATTCTAACACGAGTCAATGAATAATGTATGATTCGCCACTTCAGTAATGTCCGAAAATGTATCACGCCACTCTTACGACTAAACCTTGCCATTAAATCGACATTAAACAAAAAGCACTGAAAGAAAATATTCGCACAAAAAAATCACTGAATATCAGCACTGAAAAATATCAGCACTGAAAAACACAGAGATATATATCAGCACTGAATATCATGTATTCATTCATATTTAGTGAATAATAAGGCGTACGAACAGTTCGCCAAGTACGAGCGGAGTGATAGTTCGCCAAGTGACGGAACTCGGTTTCTTATTTAAGAGGAATTCAGAAATGTGAATTTCTTATCCATTGAACGGGAATAAATCCTGGAAATTTATGTATCGTTTTGTAGCGCAGATACAGGAAAATAAAACATGATGTATAGATTTGCTAGAAACAAAGATATGTTCAAGAATTTCTACTTCGCTTTGAGTGCAAAAGTTCAAGAAATAATTTGAATTATTTCCCAAGCGACAGGGAAAATTTATGATCATGATATATACCATCTTGTAGCTGAGATTGAGTGAGTACTATAGAAATCTGGTTCAAACATTGAAATCAATTGCTAAGTTACGAGAGTTTTACCACTTGGTGTAATCAATGGTGATGTTCAATAGTCACAATTGGCGTGCATACTGGAGGAATTGAAATTCTTTCTGACAATATCTTAACTGTTTCTGTGAAAAACTTGAGAGGATTAATCTTCACTTGCTTATATCAGAGATGAAAGGAAAACAAACATATTCATCGATAAATAGACAAATCTAATACAGACATACCAGCTTAGTAATATTTTTCTAGTTGAGCAAGATTTGTAAATTGAGATGGCTATCGGAAATCAATACAGTCTATCCACTCATATCCAAATCCTCCCATATCCGAATGATAGAGAAACAAGGGGATAGCGTGTAATGAGTGAATATAATGAAAATTTGGATCAAGACGTTTATATTAGATTCAGTCAAAAGTGAGAAAGATGCTTGAAGGTATCTGCTTTAATCTTATGAGAAGAAGTTAAGTACTTCTATAATTTGTTTCATTTCTATTCTGGTGGACATAATCATTTTTCGGCTAGTTCCAGCTGGCAATGCAGGTTTTGTAAACGTCAACTGACAGCGTTCAGAACGCTGTTAAGTGCTGACAATGATGGTGAAGAAAAATTCGTTGATGCATCTGACAACACAACCAAAAAAAGAAAATACATCTCGATCAAATTTTCAAAACGGATATGATAAACTACTGATATAGCATGCTACTTCAAAGAACGTTAGCAGGTCAATCCGAATAAATAGTAAAATGTTTCTCCGCACTTCCACATCCAACAGTTCATCGAAATCTTCGAACTTAATTAGCATCGCAAACAAATGATATTAGAGCATAAAAAGATTGAAAAGTATTTTTCTTTTTCTATTTGCGTGATTGATGTACTGCTTATGAATCACATCCTTAGCTCTCAGCTTGATGAATATGCTATGGAAGATCGTTTCGCAAAAACTCAACTCAATTGATGGTTCGTTATCCGAACATTTCGATGACCCAAAATCCAAAGGGGAACACAGTAAATTACGTCGAGAGAGTGGAAGCATGCCGATGAATGTTCAAGCACCAGATTTTGCTTTGATAAGATTCACGTCACAACCGTTGCAATAATCCACCACCGCGCAGAAACTCCTCTCGACGGCATCAATCATCACGATGAGTCGTCACGGAAGGAGGCTCCATTCTCAGAAAGTTCGCCGTGCCCGCAAGAAAGTTTAATTCAATGCACACAGGTACCATTCATTTTAATTAGTTTATACAACTGCCATTCAGACGTTAAAATCCACGTTTAGGGCTTACTGCGTCTTCTTCAGGTTTTATGAGCATATCAACACTATTTCTCATACATTCTTCTATAATCAATCCATTAAGGACTGAAATCTCTTCCGCATTTTTCAATTTACTTTTATCCAGCTGTGGTCGTGATGATAAACAAAACATAAACATCCCATAATAAAATTGTTATATTTGTCATAAAATATCAAATCTTCGAATGCGGATGGTTGCGCCGGCCAACTTTATTTCCTGACAAACCTGAAAAGGTTTAACATGCAGTCCAATATCGCATTCGCAACACTTTTCCCTTGCACTTTCATCAAAAACTGCAGTTATTATTTGTTTTTCCATATTCGTAAACTGGATTAAATGAGCAGTTGCTTAAGTCCCAATAACAATCCAAGTACGTCTATTCAAAACAACTGTGAATGATCTCCAATGGTAACCAATGATATGCAGAATTTCGATTAATTTTGTTAAGCAGTCATTCAGAATTTGAACCTAATGATCGTTTTTTTCTGTGTTGTTCTTCTAGACATTTGACGATTCCATCACCGAACTGAACTCCGGAACTTAGATAAGTTTTCGAAAGAATATCTTACAATTAATCATTCGTCAATTTTTGGTTAAATTTCAAACTGAGTATTCTCTTTTGTTGGCGTGTAACGTTCTCTTTTGTAATATTCACGTTGACCGTGTCTGAAGCCAGGTCTCTTATAACAGAGCCTTCATAAGCTAATACCCCTATGATCTGTTCCCTTCCAGATGTAATCCGGGACGTTCATATATCTTATGAAATGCATTAAAGTTAGTATTCTGCGGTCGTCAATCCTCACCAAAAGTGCACGCAAGAGATCATCAGCGATATTCGGTTTCAGTTTCTTCAGTGCATCAACGAAGAACTTTAGCGGTTTATCTGTTTTGAACATGTCAATACATCGATGATATACCATGAATCATCTTTTCATTACCATCTGGGTAATAAATAACAAATATGATTGCATTTGAATGAGTTGGAAATGATTTCTGATGGTTATACAACCAAATTCATACAAAATGACTTGTATTACAAATTCCGGAAATCCTGTGAGTCCCGGAAATATGAATCCCCGGATCGGAAATCAAAAGTCCGGATTTGGAATCCCCAGGATCCTGTGCAAACACTATGTATAACTCGGCAGAGAGTCATACGAAGCACAAAAGGAAAAAACCATAACCATAATGAAACTGAATAACATGCACAATTAGGCAGCAAAATACAGAGTGTGGAACTGCTAGTTCTGGGACACCGTACCGCACCAAGATTTGCCGGGTATTTGCTCGGCCCGTCACGTTTTGGTACGCTTCAATAAGTGCTTGTACGACCTGGCAAATCTTGCCTTGGCTCGACACGGCAAATCTTGCTTCAGCTGGGCAACGGCATTTGCACAGTCCCACAAAATAATAGGTAATCGCCAAAACCTACTTTCAATGCCTGCACCTCTGCACAAATATGCACAACTATACTCACCTGATTGTTTTAATACTACACTTACCTCCCTCTTTGTCATCATGCATGCATATGAAATCGTTTGTTCATATGTTTATAGGTCCGCATGCAATCCACAGCAACTAAGCCCCAAGTTCGGTGGGCCACCCGCATCGCTAGGTAATGGACCCTAAGCTTTGCATGGATTTGCGAGAACACTTGAATTACCAAAGACCCACACCCGCTTCAGTTCTACATCTCTACAGCCCCGCTTACTAATCTCTTTTTATTTTTTTAAATCCCTGTTGTTATAATCGTTATTATTGATTTAAGTAACACCAGTATTCTTATCGTTATCATTGTATACTTTGTTGTTGCATCATTTCATTTCCATTAACAGTATTTTGTTATTTTTCAATTCGTCATTGTTCTCGATAATGAATTGGATCTCAACCAATGTAAGCTGAAAATGTATATGGAAACAATTCGATGAGAATGCGTTTTAAAAGATGCAGTTACATCATTAACGTCACCATTTTTTGTGAATATTGAATTGTTCGATGCAAATTTGTTTGTTTTTTTCACACATCGTTTTGCTTTTCTCAAAGCCATTTTCATCGAAAACATCTATGTGATTGTTGAGAAATATTGCTTATCCTTTGAAGTTATCGATCTGTTCAGTTCAAAATGATAAATTTCCGTTGCTTCATCGGAAAGATTAAGATAAACAGAAGGTAACCGTATAAGATTAAGATAGATGCGAAGAGTTAGGGTACTTGTTGTTCATGATTGATGATTGATGCTTTAGGCATAATTTTATGATGATCAGTGGTCATATTATTGAAATAAGACAATTCAAAAACGATTGTGTTACGTCGGCAGTGTTGTTTAAAACATATGAATCATAGATGTAATGCAAGGGTCGCAGATGATTTTGTAGCTACGTCCGTATTATATGTATGTTCATTGCCACTGTGAAATTCATATTCGTCGAACATCTAAGCGATGTGTTTTGTTCGATGATTTCAGCAAGAAAACTGTGGACTATGCAGAAGCTGAATGGTATAAACGTGTTCAGATTTGATATTGATCATATCAAAACAAGCAGCATATAGCGAGCAGTAATCACTTATTAACTCCTCGTTGCTATATGTTAATATAATGAATCACTTTCGTGTTTTGTTGCTCAGTGTCATTCGAATTCCGCGGATCTATTCAGTTCGATGATGAACGCTCGTATTACTACTTCGGTAAATTTTGTTTATTTTCCTTTTCTCAAAACGTCATTTGATTTTTAGCGCAACCATCAATGTGGCTTATGAATATCGAGTGCTGAGAAGAGAGGAGTGTAATATATATAATTACGTGGTGTGCAAATTTTCACATTAGTTGAAAGGTGAGATTAAACCAATGTTATTATTGTTTTACGAAACAATTCCCAATTTTTTCATCTCGTTTCTTTGGTGTACCATTTTCAGTTCCGCAGCATTTCCTATTATTATAATAGTTTTGTCCTCCTAAAGGAATGAGAAGAGCATCTTTGTGAGGAATCATGGAAAGTTGAAAATATTGCGTCGTTTGATGATTAAGGATTGAAAGTGATATTCATTTTAAAATCGATGAATAATGATTTAGTTGGTAGTATGGAACAGTCTGTGCAATTGGCTGAACAGTTACTCGATCCACGTTCACTTCTGAATGTCGAAGGATTATTGGTAAGTTTTCGACAATATACTTCAGTTATTTCACTTGTGTCTCGCCATTAATCCAGTTATACTCACTTCTTGTTGGATCGATCAGTCAATGCCAGTATGGGAACTAATTGCGTATTATTCTCGTCAATACATAAATAATTTCTGAGGACAATGAAGTAAGCGGGAAAATGTTTTTCAGAGCGTTAATAATACGTAAAACAATGATGATTTAAAACAACTCGGTGAGATATTATATTAAAGTGTAATATGTAATTAAAACGTGCTGTATATGCTTTTTATATGTAGTCACTTGCTTATTATTGTACTAGTTGTTGATTATTCGGTGTCAGTGTTGTAAATGTGTGTATGTATGCGTAGTCAATGTTCTTTTTTGATTAATTATGTTTTTCTGTTATTAATAAGGATGGGTATAGAATGTGAACGAAGTGTTAATTGTTTTGTCGGAATATAACCACTCATCTATAATATATTGAGAAGTTTGAATTATTGTTAAGATGCTTAAAAGCACGAACGTGACATATATAGTTACTCAAATGAACTTTCACAGTATTTACTTCTGTTGTTTTGTAACTGAAGTAGTTCCTTCACGCATCAACAATGGCAGCAAATGACTGTATATGTAGTCATGAAACAATTCTTAATCATTGTGTTTAAAACATTTGATAAAATATGTATTTTAGGATGCGCTTACAGCCGTACTTGAAGATTGTAATTATCCTCTGTTGAGACGTACTCGAAATATCGACAATTTTGTATCAAGATGTTTGTTTTTCGATTATTTATTCGACTATTCATTTATTTCTCTTATTACATTTGTTCGCTATTCTGTTTTTTTTCTTTTCAAAACTGTTCCATGGAACAGTTTCGACCATCTTTTAGCACAGTCTTCTCTTTTGTATATATTACACGTAATGCAAGTTTATTTCTGAGCGAATTAAATTGTTCACTATTGCCATTATTGCTATTACTATCACTTTTATTATTCTTTCAGTCGTTTATATTACTTTATATCAAAATGAAAATTTTAGATCATGAAGTAGTGAAGCGTGTTTGTGATTTGCGTTTGAAGGGATGTGATTTTGAATTGATCAAAGTGATCGGTCGTGGTGCATATGGAGAAGTGCAGTTGGTTCGACACAGTAGGTCGAAGAATGTTTTTGCAATGAAACTTTTGAACAAAAACGAAATGGTTAGACTTTTACGATTATTGTTGTTGTTCGCTTTTCATGCAGACCGTTGTTCTTCAACTTGGGCAGTGAACGGAAACAACATTCAGAAGAGAGATTTTAGCGAAAGAATAAAATTCTTAAAATAGTCGCAAGTCTATGTTTAGAACGGCTATTCAGTATTGTCACATTTGGAGGGAGAGAAGGACGGTTTAGTGACTGTTCAACAGAGATTGAGCACCATTGGTCTAGAGCATTCATTTTATTTATTCTTTGCATTTGTAAGTTTAATTTATTAATTTAATAATATTTGGTGATCATAGATTCGTCGTGCGGATTCAGCGTTTTTCTGGGAAGAGCGTGATATAATGGCTCATGCGAATTCAGAATGGATTGTTCGACTTCATTACGCATTTCAAGATGCACGATTTCTATATATGGTGATGGAGTATATGCCTGGAGGTTAGTTTCTTTCTAGTTGTTTTATTCGAGAGAATTGTTCTCGTGTGATATTAATTGTTGCTGTGATTGGATAAGATGAAAACTGATCTTCAGGTGACTTGGTGAATTTGATGACTTCATATGATGTATCTGAGAAATGGGCGCGATTTTATTCTGCCGAATTAGTGCTAGCGTTAGATGCTTTACATACGATCGGTTATATTCACCGAGATGTTAAGCCTGATAATATGCTTATTAGTCGGTCTGGACACATTAAATTGGCTGATTTTGGCACTTGCCTTCGAATGGGACCGGTTCGTTGATGTGTTGTTCCTTGCTTGTTTCTTGTTCGTAACGTTCACAAAATTATATTTTCGACGATATTGGTTATTATTTGTTATCAGTGAATTGATAAGATGCAATTCAGAATGGTACAGTGAAATGCACATCAGCAGTGGGTACGCCAGATTATATAAGTCCTGAGGTGCTGGAATTACAAGGAACAGAGGGAGTTTATGGGCGAGAAGTGGACTGGTGGGCAGTTGGGATATTCGTTTATGAAATGCTAGTCGGTGAAACACCGTTTTATGCAGATTCGCTGATGGGAACTTATACGCGAATTAGAAATCATGAAACTGAACTGAGGTATTTGTGTGATGTGCCACATTTTTAATTCATTCAATTATCTTTCATTTTGAATACATTGAGTTTCGTTGCATATAGAGATGAATAAATCTCTGAATATTGTCAAATTATCAATATCAGTTAATTAATCCTAACAAAAAAATTAATCATTCAGTTTTCCTGATGATGTGGAAATGTCAGAAAATGCAAAAGATCTAGTGAGGCAGTTTCTATCAAATGCTAAAACAAGACTTGGAAAGGATGGTGTGGATAGTATTAAATCTCATCCTTTCTTCAAGAACGATGATTGGAATTTCGATAATATCCAAAAAGGTTCACCAGTCAAATCGTTTTTGTTGTTCTCTTGTTTACTCCGATTCATCTTCGTTTTTTAGCAACCGAATAGCATTACGAGCCTTTCCGAACGATTCATTTATTATTGATTGAATAGTTTTGCAAGAATTGATATCAGTCGATAAAATTTGATCACTGGTTATTGATTGCTTAAAGCTGTACCGCCGGTTGTTCCTGAATTGAAAAGTGATGATGATGCATCGAATTTCGATGAAATCGAACCGAAAGAAGCGAATCCCGCCGATGGTTTTCAAATCCCAAAATCTTTCGCCGGTGCCCAGTTACCCTTCATTGGATTCACATACTCAAATGAACTTGGGTATGCAGTTCATGTTTTGCGGATAATTTCATTATTATTATTTGCATTCATTCTCTTAGCAGTTATCACTTGATCATGTTCGCAGTCTGACAATATTCAGAAAGTCGTTTCTTGCAACCTTTCTGTAAGAATTAAGTTCACTGCTTTATTATGTGGTAAAGAATGCTGAATCTGTGATGAAATTTCAGTCCCATTGAAGTAATTAATAAGAAAATCGAATCTGCGAATGATAGTTCGTATGTTCAAGAAGCTCTTGAACAACTCAGTCGGATGTCAAATGCTGACACACAACTCGAGGTGGACTTTTTTTCCCGATATTTATTTTAAAGTTTCATTTCAATTTTATACCAACCATAAATATTCAAAGTATACTTATCGTGAAAAAATTCACCTTATTCAGTTCAAATTCGTAATTGCAACCCGCAAATTATTCTGATAAGTGAATGGTAAGAATACCTATGATCTATAAATGATCTTATCTTAGTGCTACCACTATTTTACTTCACGTATACGAAATTGATTATTCAAAATGATTCATTAATAGAAGAAAGCTTATTGGTTGATTCAATCAAAAATATTCACACTCACATCGCATTTCAGTCATTCAATAGGTAATAGAATTTGCAGTGTGAGAAGCGTGAAATCGAAAAGCAGTTAGCAGCATGTCAGATTCAATTAAAAGATGTCGCTCGTAAATTGGATATGCAACGAGAAGAAACAAATATGAAAGCACAAAAAGTTGCATCTTTAGAAGAGCAGCTATCGGCAAAATCAAAGGTGGAGGATCATGTTAAAGAACTTGAGAGAACAAATGTTGAAGTAAGTGATTCGGTTAAATCTTTATCTTAGGTTGTATTTGAATCCTTATAGTATGGGTTCTACTATTTGTTTTGTTAGTTGATATGTTGTTTATTGGATGATTTATTGATTTGGCTAGTATTTGCTGCTTTATGATGATGTCAGTAATAATTTGGTACATGAATTTAAAAAATATGATCTTTAAATTGCAGTTAATTGAGAAATGTCGAACATCCAACGAAAATGAGGAACGAATACGTAAGGAAAAAGCTGAGCTCAGCACACAGTTGTCAACGACGAATGAATCATATAAAGAATTGGAAGAAAAATATCGAAAAGTGGCGGAGAATGAGTCAGATTTGCATGATCAAGTGCAGAAGTTACGGTTGCAAATGAATCAAGAACGCGAAAATGTTCGACGTGCACAGCAAAGGGCTACTGTTTGTTTTTTTATGTTTGCCATCAGATAACAGAGTTGATTGTCGTACTACACAAATTATTCAGATCTTTTTCTGTCATCTCATTATTATTTTTGAAGTTTTTATATCGTACACTATGTTGTGATGTTGAATCGTTTCAATATTGATAGGTGATGATGAAAATTTTTCTAATAATAAAGGAACAAAATGAGAAAGTGGAATCGTTACGATCCGAGATAGCTTCAATGAGAGAACGTGAAACGCTGTTGGAATGCCAACTGAATAAATTCAATGAAGATGAACGTGAAAAAGATGAAGAGAATCGGATGATCGATGATGAAACGAGAAAGACGAACGCACGACTTGTCAATGAACTTCAGAGCATGCAGAAGAAGGTTAAACTTTAAGTTATGCGTTAAAGTGTCTTTGTGAATACAAACCACTTGTAAATAGTCAGCATCCAGTTCGGATGATCTATCTGAGTTTATTGACTATCAATTATCAAAAACTGCTTTAGGTAGGAGTTGTTGCTGAACGCAGTTCAGGTGAGGAATTAGATTCATTCATTCAGGTTGAGCAGTTGTCAGGTGACTTCGATCGAGAAATGCGTCAACGTGTCGCTGCTCAAAATGAACTTCATACAATCAGCGATGAGCTAGCCGTCTCTCAGCATACCAATCAGTTCCTTGAAGACGTTAGTTCCCATTTCAATGATATCCTTTCACGTGCACATTCTCAGCTCTTTAATAATAAAAAATTTCCAGTCGATGATTTCTTTGTAAATTGTCTTTTTGGTTTTGATTAAGTATTGAAAAAAAGAAACAGAATAATTGAAAGCACGGCAAAAGAATTCTTATAGTTATGTTTAATTTTTTTTAAATTAATTTTTTTGTAACAGTGGCAGTTTGTAAAAAAACATTTTGAATCGTTGACTTTTTTCCGTTTCATTTATTCTGTCAATTATGTGGCTGATTGTAGGTGATTCGTGCTAAAATTTGTTATGAGCTCATGGATAATCCTGCAGTTTAAGTCAAAAATAAAAGGGACGTGGCTTAACACACATAACACGCGTCAGCCAATCCATGGATAACGCATGTTGCAGTTTGAGCCTAATCCTAAACCTAAGCCCTTTGACCTGAACTGTAGGGTTACCGAGCTAGCTCTGTGAATTACACTTGCTGTTTGTGTTCTTTTACATTATGTTGTGAATTGTTGAGGAGTTGAAACGTTCACGAGATGAGAAACGCCGACTTGAAACGAAAACGCAAGAAATATCGTCAGCAAGTCGTCTTTTACAACGTCAATACGAAGATATCAAAGAGCAGTTAGAAACTGAAACGTCGTTCATTAATATCTATAAAACCGAAATGAACGCAATGGCTGAAGAAGTCACTGAAAAAACAAAACGTCTTGAACAACTCGAAGAATTTGCGTTGGTTTACATTGATTTATTTGATTGGTTGATTGATTATTTTCTGTTGACTGGTTAATTGGTTGATTGGTGATTGGTTTGATCATGCTGATTGTTCGATCAAATCATGTTCATTGGTCGGTTCAGTTTGATTATTTCTTTTGATCAACTCATTGAGTGGTAATCATTGTTTTAAAAAAACAATATGATTTAATCATTCTGGTCCACAATAAATCAAATTCACCATAAGGTGCATTGTCGCTAATTATTTCTTCGCAGTTGCGTGAAAGTACACATGAATAAGCACAGTAATTTGATCTGATTCGTAATAACTCAAAGTGAAATGAAATATAATCTCATCAATCCATCTAGCATGTGTCTTGTTTGCAGACGTCGTGAAGAAGAACGACAACGCGAACTAAATGCGCAAATGGATAGTGAACGTTTAGCGAGACGTATCGCTGAGGAAAATCTAACAGCCACCGATAAAGGTTTTTAAAATTCATATCATATCATTGTCATATCTCATTAACGACAAGTTGCTAATGATAAAATCAAATACTTTTGACTGCATCATATCATCACTATCGATGACCATAGGTATTTTTTATTAAAATCTACTGATGAAAACGAATGAACCGATAAGAATTTTTTCAGCAAAAACTATGCTTGAATTAGAAGTACGTCAGCTGGTGCAACGACATGAAAAAGAGATCGGCGCTAAGAATGCAGCCATTCAGTTGTTGACGCAAAAGGTTCATCATTCACTCATTTAATTATCATCCTCAATTATCAATACAATGCCGGTTGTCAGTGCATAAGTTTGTTGATTTAAGGAAGAAGAATTACAAAAGGCATTGCAAAGTGAATCGAACACCGTCCCTGGACGTGAATCAACATCACGTCGCTCACTTTCACCCGAGCAACGTATTCGGCAGTTGGAAGGTCTGCTGGAGCGTGAAAAAAGATATAAAGAGATTGTAAGTATTACTAAACTCATTCAAATAATATTCTGCCTCGTTTTTGGATCATTTCATGCAAAAAAATCTGTACTTTAGAATTTTATGTTTTAAAAAGTCACTCTTGCACAGTCAACACTTATGTCAGAGGTAAATGATGTTTTAATGAATAGTATTGCTCAATTTTTCATATAGAAATGAGTTTTCACAACTATTTTGAGAACGTGTTATCAATACCATGTAAACCAATTTCATTTATTCAATATTAAAATTGGGCAATTTGGAGAATTGTACAATAAATATTTTAATAAGCAGTTATTGAAAGCAACTGAATATATAGGTAGGAAATGAGCGTGAATTTGAACTAGACACGCACTTACATAATGCGGATGATTGTTGGAGTTGATTGCATTGAAATTGGTTTTTTAATGTCGTTGATTTGTTGTTAGTTGATTCAGTTGTTATTGCTGCTTGATTGATTATTGTTTGAAGGCGGTGAATAAATTGGAAGAGGTGATGGCGAATCGTCAGTGGAATTCAACCAAAAAAGATAAAGTGAGTCGAGGCGATATGAAGCGTCGTGAAAGGAGGATTGCCGAACTGGAACGCGATTTAAAAGCTGAGAAAGGCAAATATGAGGAACGTCTTTCGCAGTACGCGAAGGAAATCGAACAGCTCAAGGTTTGTTTTTTTTAGTATTAGAATTAATTTTGAAACTACTTTGAAACTGCTGTTGTTTGTTTGTTGTGCTAGATCGTTTCTTGTTTGATTCGATTAGATACTTTTAGTTTCGTTTAATTTTATTTTGATGAAATTTTAATAGTTTCAAAATTAAAATCAAACTTATAATTTCAACAAAATCAATTTCTCAATTGAACGAAACTTCGGAAGAGTGAATGTGGATGTATGTTGAGACGAAAATATTGAACACTCATCTATGACAATGATATCTGCTCCAAATTATTTAAAGACTAGTGATATTATGCATTATCAATACAAAATTGAATGATTGTTGTTATCCATCAACCATACCATTGTGTAACGAAAGTTAGCAAATGAAGCTTAATTCGTCATTTAGATCGCCTTAATGGAGGAAGAGAAGATAAACGAAATGTTGCGTAATGAATTAGAAGCTTATCATCATTTGGAGAGTGCCATGAATGAGCAAAAAAAGAAAGAACGAGGTCAACACGAACAACAGCAAATGCAGATACAGTTTCAAAGCGGCGGTCCTGCTAACGCCGCTGCTGCAATGCCCCTCCAGTCTCCGACCATCTCTCTTTGTGATGTCAGTCATTATCCTTATTCATTTTACTAACTTCTTCCCTTATTCATTCATCATACAATCTATTTGTTTTATTGCTTTGGTAACATAATAGGCAATTTGTTTGATTTTGCTTTTACATTATAATAATTATAAAAATGACTGAAATTATTGATAATTGTTTATTGAATGTTCGTTGTTCAGCTCGATTTCAAGAACGAAGGAATTGTTTCGGTACGTCTAGCCGTTAAAAGAAGACATCAGTGGCGTGAATGTTTCGCAGTTTTTTCATTGGCCGGTTTTTGCTTTTTCGCGAGTCAAGCAGATCGACATCCCTTTCAGACGATACCAGCTGAGTGAGTGTTGTTTAATTTACGAATTCACCTTCACATAGTAAAATCAGTGTTTTTTGTAGTCATAAGTACGTTAATTGTTAAATGATTCAATACATTTGTTGTTTCTGTAGTTTTATTTAGAAATGTGCTCCTTTCTGCTTTATAAAACGATCGATTAAATTAAAGTAATTCATTTTTTTTAGTTACATATGCCATGCCCGTCACGTGAGCGCTGCAGATGTGCGCACGGCCGAAGAGAATCAACTTCCACGTATTTTCCAGGTTTGGTTTGGGGTTTTTGGTGCTGAGTGGAAATTTACAGAATATTATTGTTTGTTTTCTTTTCAGATGATCAGACCAATATAAATAAATGTTATTTAGTTCGTTCTTATTAATTGTCCTCATCAATGCAATTGAAAATTTGATCGTTAGGAATGTAATGTGAAGTGATATTATTGCGTTAAAAGTACTCATTAGAATGACTGCAACGATCGAAGCAGAATTGAATAAAACAGCTTGATGTATGTAAGAGCATCACTGATTACATTCAGTTAGTTTGTAGGTATTGTATCAAATTGACGAGAACACAAATCGACGACGCTCATCTATTTCGGACGCTTCACGAAGTTCTTTATCATCTAATGGTCGTGATGTAAGTCTTACATACGAAATGTCGTCTTATCTGTGTATATACCTGGCGTAATTTCATTTATTACACAATTTATTTGATTCTTTTGAATGCGCCAAACATTTTGAAAGTTTGGTGGTCAACGTTGCAGGCAAGTGAGAGTGGCGATAGTGATAATGCTAATGATAGTATTATAATTGCGTTGAAATTTTGAAAAAAAAAAGAAGTTGTTTAAAAATTTTTGGCGCAATCAATAGGAGGAGGATATTTTCATAAAAAGAAAAATTCGTATGGATTTGGAAGAGATGTGAGTTGAAAATAGTGTCGTTGCTTTACCACTCAAGCTATACTTCGCTTGTGGTTCGCTTATACTTCACCCTGCTGTAGGTAAAGTATAGGTAAAGAAATCGATGACGAGTAAACTACCTGTAACGTTTACTTGGGAGTGAAATTGAGGGCAATCTGTAAATCTTATACAGATGTGGCATTAAACACGCAGACATTTTATGCTCATTCGCTTGAAATAGGCTTCAGTTCGGTCTAAAGCTTACTCTCAGGCTTGGGTCTATGTTTTTGCTTAATAAATCATATTAGGTTTGCATAGGGCTAGAACATACCCGCACGATTGCAAATTGCCTAGTACGTTTTAAAAGTCGCAGTAAATTTTAGTTTTGATGTAATATCAAAGTTTAGTTTACATCATGTTAATTAATAAAAGTTTTCCACATTACTGATCACATTTGATTGTGTACAAAGAATTTGTCAAGATTGTTTGTCCTTTCCTCAACATTATTGTGAGGAATTTTGGATGCAACAATTGGGAAACTTAGAGTAAAGGTCGAAGCCGAAATTATGGTAAAATAGAAGTGAAGTGTAGTTTACGAAGTTTTAGATCTAAAGTATGGGTGAAGTAAAATTTCAAAGAACGACGGTTGAGATGACATGAAATCAAAGTATATTTCAAAAATTTTAGGTAAATTGACAGCAATGGTTGAAAAACAACGAAAAGAGAGCATCATTTGGCATAGTTTGCCGTCATTTCGAAAATGGGATATCTGATAACCACAAAACGTGTTGAGACTTAAGCTTCTTAGGCTTGTGTTGAGACTCATTCTCGGACTCAAGCTCACACTTAAAATATGATTGGAGCTGAGTTTACGTGGACGATTTTTAGGGTTTATTGAGATGCTTTCATTTTTACCTTATCGACCTGAATTTTTGCGCAAAATAAATGAAAGATGCCAAACATTTATGCGAATTTAATATGGTCGGGATTTGACTATGCAAACGAACATTTATTGTTTATTACAGGATAAAGTTATTGATAAATCGTTATGGAATAACCACGAATTGGTTGAATTAACTTTTCATATGCCGACTCTTTGTGATCTTTGTGTGAAACCGTTATCGGGCATTCTTCGTCCACCACCAGCTTATGAATGCAAACGTTCGTTTCATTTTCTTTTTAATTTATCGTCGGAGAGTGAGAAAGAAGCAGTTAACGAATGTAGGTCATTTGCGTGATCTTTAGTGCGGTTGTTGTTTACAAATTACAAGGTTGTTGTAGAGGATTTTGATTCGATCTGAAGAAGGCGATTTTAATATTGTGATCAGATAGATAAGTGGATTCCGTTTATTGCAGGTTGTCGAATGCGCTTTCATCGAGATCATCTTGGGGTCGATTATATTCCATATTGCAAACGTAAGTTATTGTCATTGAATAATTTAGGTAGTTGAATCATTTTTGTGATCTGATAACTTAATGTGGCAATTCAGAAACTGTCGATGCTCGAGAATTACTCATAATGACGCCGACCAAAGAGGCTTGTGACAAGTGGGTTCAGCAATTGAAGAAGTTCGTTGAATACAAGCAGTCTCATTCGCGATCGGTATTATTTTGTGTTGTTGTTGATGATGAGTGCTTTTCCAAGCCTTTACTCCACATCTCTTCCTCGACCAAGTATAAGTATCCGAATGTTTGTGAAACATCAATAATGTCGTTATTGCATCATAATATACACTTTAATTGAGTTCTAAATCTTGAGTAGAATTCCCAAGATGAATAAATTATTTAAACATGTATCGTAGCAGCAATAAATTAATACGCATGGATGTGTGTCTTTCAGGGTAATTCATTACCTCGAAGTGGCTCATCAATGAAACAACCACCAAAAGTAGGATCGGTACCTCGCTCAGCAACACTACCCAACAATACCATATCACCAACCACCACATAAAACTGCAAGGATTTTTACGCTTTATACATTTAAAGTATTATTTATATATTTCTTTATCTTTCTTCGTCATTATACTATTGTTTCATTGGGTAGGTTGTGCTCTTATTATTCGTTCTGGACTGTTGCTGCTGTCGCCTGCGCTGCTCACTTTAGCGTTGTTTCATACAAGATGCTGATTTTTATCCATTTGTAATAACAGTTCACTTATTATTGCATTTTAATTATATTCTGCCATCGATCAGTTGTGCACTACAATTAGTGGTATATAATCGCAGTTTGATTTTTTTATTCTTCTTTTTAACAAAGTGCATTCATTCCGTCTAGCGCGGGTTTAATTTCGTCTTTATTTTATTTTTTCTCGTGTTTTGTGATTTTTTTAAAATGTGTTTACAAGTAACTGATAAAAGGTAAACCCGGCTTCGTCATCACCGATTTTCGCAACTTTTTTAGTTGGTTTTCAACGACGACCATAAAATATCACCCATAGATAGATTTTAATTTGGAAATTGATTTTTCCTGTTACCGAGGTGATGAGTGGCTTCGGAAGGCCCTTAATGCGCAGTATTTGTGGTCTAGTGGTTAGGACACCAGCATCTGATCACTGCAGCCAATAGTTTTCATTTCCTTTGCACTCGTGCGACTTGATTTATTGCTGCCTAAATCACTTTTTCCACAGTTTAATGGTTATCTTTTTTTTGTTTGAGGAGAGAGAAGGTAGTTGTTGAATTGCGGATATTCGAAGCTGTTTTCAGTTGAGGGGAGAGAAAATGCCGTTTATTGTGAAGGTTTGGAATCACAATAAATAGTAATTGAACTGGAAAGTAGAAATGGGTATGGACATAGTGATAGAAGATAATGTATCCGAAACGTAATGAAATGATGCTGAAATGGTTGATGACTCAGGACGACTGGACAGTTGGTTCTTTCAAAAGTTCGAAGATAGCACGCATCGTATTTATAGTGAGAACACAGAAATTTTTCGTATTGCGAACATTGTAATAATGCTTACTTGCTGGATTCATCCTTCTTTTTACATATTCCATGCGCGAATGTCACCTTATTGAATGCTTCTTAAAAATTTGGATATGTCGGTGCAAGGATTCCAAGGATATACTATTACGTTTTCATAAAATGGCGTACTTAACTGATCAGAAACAAGGGAATACAATCTAATGCAATTTTCTCGCAGTTCTCATGTTCTGTGTGTCAGATAATAATTTTAGACATCGGAAACTAATAGTTGTGAGATGTAGCAAAGTATTTTTTGATATGTCGCCAGAAGTACACATGAAGTATTTGGCGCATTGATGTGCGTTTCGGAAGTATTATCTTGAAGTTATGATTGTTTTGTTACTCCTAGATGATAAATTTAGATTCCCCCAGCAGCCAACGTCGCTGTTCACAAAAATGGTATTGAGAAGCAGGTTGTGACGTTAGGTGAAAATGCAAAAGCAACTGAAGATATTCTGTATCGCTGGCCAGAATGTGATATCTTTACCGCTACACAAAACTTACAAAGGCGTCCATCATTTCGATAATAGGAAAAGCCAATTTTAGACACATCTGTTGGCCTGAAATGGAGATTCTAAGACTGGCCTTTTACAGTTGTACTCAAGGCGTCGATCAGAATTTACCACTAGAAAATTGCGAAAAAATGATGAAGATGATGTCTTGACCTGAACCTGTCAATTATGTCGAATTTCAATCAGGTGGAGAAAGAAGCATGTGCTGTTAAGTTGTTGTTTTTGAGTAACTGCTGCAAAAAAAACTTGCTGACAAGGAAACACTCAATTTTTTGGTATCTGATCATTTTTCTAAGAATTCATTAAGTGTTGATGAAGAATGAAAGTAGTCATATTTGAGGAATATGAAATATTATGTTATAGAAGTAAGCAGTTTAATAGAAATTCTCAAAATTAAATGCTTACACACTTCAATGGATGGTTGTGATTGATCAATTTTCAATGTTTCCTTGTTTCAAGCATGCAAAAAGGAGTGTTTCATTATGAGGTAAAATTGGATTTTGCACGATTGAGTTTTTGAGAATGTTTTCAAAACTGATATGAGAAGTTTGTATTTCAAAGCACTTCATTGTTGAGAATTACGATTAAGATGTGGATAGCGATTGTTTTGGATACACGTGTTAAATGTTATCGTCGTTCGTTCATCACCGATCGTTTGAATATATTATATTTCGACTCATTTGTTTCATACTGATTCATTATCTTTCTTGTTGATCTTATTTCTTGAAAATTCTTTACTACGGATTATCGCATCGCTTTCAAACGTTTCATTTCTTCTGCTTACTGTTTCCGAATGTGTTTTTTACTTGTTGCTTCTTTATAATAATGTTCTAATAATATTTGTAATAATAATCATATTTCTTGTTGCTTTTATCGACTACGGTTTGTGTCATTTTTCAAGTTGATTACTTTTCATTGTTTTTGTTTTATTATCCTCATTATTTCTGTTGTGCTCATGTGATCAATATAATCATTAAAACGCTATAAATTTGTTCTAATTGATAGCGATTTTACTGTCTGTTTAATTGTAAGTGGCAATATTATTCGATATCAATGAGCAATTATCTCATTATTCTTTCACTCAAATATTTCTTACAAATGTGATTCTAAATATATTCTTATTATTGCTATGTTGTAATGTCAATTAATCATTTAATTGATTTTATCCGAAAATTTCATGAAACTGAGCGATTGATTGGTTGAAACATGGTGTTTTCGTGCGAACTTTACGGCATTGCACTTAATTGCAGATTGCGTATTACTTTTTATCGCAAACGTATCATGAAATGAAATACGATTCATTCAGTCGTTTGAATTTGGTTTCTTCATTGTCAAATAAACCATTCATTTTATATGTGGACAGCGATGACGACTTTTCGTTTGTGTTGTATTTGGTGTCATCACATATGCATACTTTCATTTCAGTTCATCATTAATCCCTTTTCTGGTAATAAAATTTAAATATCATATGAAATGTGCAGTAATCTGACTGTTTCTCGTCAGTACTGCAATTATTTTTGTATTATCCAATGAAATGATCTTTTCAAAAATCTATATGCAGCTGATGGTGATTTTGGATGTCTAGAAATGAGTCCTTATTAATTTATTATCTTATCCTTATTGTTAAATGATTATAGCATTGATTGATGAATTGTGCTTTGGACTTATTCGATTGAGTTATGACGTTTTTGCTGATTTTTGCTAGGATTTCGAGATCATATTAGGATGACGATAATAATAATAGCAAAGCTAATTGTTGTTTGGTATTGTTTAAATGAAACGGAAGCGTTAACCAAATAAATTTGAAAAAATTTTTGAATATGCGACTGTTCTTCATTGTAATGATAATGGTAATTAAGTACGACATTCATCAGATATAGCTGGTTGATAGTGCAAGAGAATATGTCAAGACCATTGCTCGCTTCGGCGAGTTATGATCAGAATATTCGATTGTGGGATGTAGTTACGGCAAGTCCAGTGGAGAGTTTCGCTCATAAAGAATCACAAGTGAACGTGATGCAGTTTAGTCGTGATGGTTGTCAGTTGGCCGTCGGTGGTTGGCAACATATTCGTATCTATGATGTTCAGGTATATTCGTTTGTGATCATATAACTATTCAGATGTATACGTAATCAGATTCTTTTCGAGAGAGCATTCGCATTCTTTACATACTTAACGTGATCGCACTTCTGTCGCCTATATCGAAAACTAGCACTCGAATGCTGTGTATGTAGCAGTTGTTTATTGAAAGAAATTTTGTAGTGTATCAATGAATTTATCACAATAAACGAATAACTGAATGAATATATCGTAGAAGTGTTTTCCTCCGCCGATAGTGGGTACATGTGATTCATTGAATAAAAATGTGATGTCGATTGGTTTTGAAGAACGCAGTCAGTGGATGTATAGTGGTGGTGAAGATTGCACTGCCAAAATTTGGGATTACCGTTGTGCGCTACAGTGTCAGCGTATATTCCAGGTTCAACATCTATTTGTCCACTCTTCTCGTGCAAAGAGCTAACACTAATAGTAATAAAATAAAAGATGATAAATTAAGGTAAGCGCACCAGTGAACTGGGTAGCGTTACATTCAAATCAAGTGGTCTTGGTTGTTGTTGACTCATCTGGTGCCTTGTATATGTGGGATTTAAGACGTGATAGCAGTGAGACGTTATCGTCATTCGATTTAGATATATCTGAATATATTTCACATGTTGATGTTAGTAAAACTGGTGAATATCTTTTGGCAATAACGAATCGTGGTAAGATTCTTTTGTGGACATTGGGTTCAGCTGATGCATCACCGATGAGCACTGTTATACTACCAATGTTAGTGATTATTCTTCGTACATTTTCAAAAGGAACCATCAGCTGGTTCATTCATCAATTCCATTCTGTCAACATTCTCATACGTTATTTTCTCTACTTTTCTTCTGGCGCTACTCACCCGAAACGATTCCTTCTGTGAGTATCTTTGTAACTTTAAAGGGATTTAAAGTTACAAAGATACTCAAAGAAGGAATCGTTTCTTTCAATTAATATCTCTCATATCCTTCAATTAAAGGGATTTAAAAGCGAAAATAAATGGTCATTCGAAGTACGGATTAAGTTGTCGTTTTGCACCAAACTCGAATCAGTTCGCAACAACTTCAGCAGATGGTTGCGTGAAGTTATGGGATTGTGATAAGTTATCAAAGTCTTCACAAACACTTTCACTTGATAATGAAGCTACTAAAACCGTTACCACCCCACAATCTGCTAAGGCTAGCTCGCTTCTTTCTCTTTTCTCTTTTAATGTTTTGCCAACAAATTGGTCGATCATGAAATTGATAATTCGACATTGTCGACTGATCAGCGGCTGCCACGATAAACTACAATTTATTGATCAGTAATCAACGTCTATAGTATTTCCTATTTTGTTTAACCATATCAAGCAGTTTTGCTTTGTAAAGAACATTCTGCAGGTAAAGTATTACAATCATGAACAATTAAAGGTTGAAGCGAAATGGGTATGGGATTGTGCTTACACAAATGATTCAACGAAACTTTTTACTGCATCCGGTTGCCAGTTAAGGTTGTGGGATCTTGATAAAAACCAGGTTATTGAGCAAATTGCTTCTAACTATCTCATTTCACGTCTACACTTACATTTCTAGCTTATTTGCTGCTTCACAAACTTTTTTCTGGTTCCTTCTGATGGATGATGTCATCAAGTTTTTGTGTCGTTGTTTATTTCCGTAGAATGAATATTATTTTGAAAAGGTGTTACGAACCCTAATAAAGATATTTTTAGGTGATACGACAGTATCAAGGACATAGCAAAACGGTGACAGCAATGGCGTTTAGGGATAGTAATTAAGAAGAAGAAGAATGATCCGTTATTTGTAGAGTATTGTATATTATATTAGTTATGGTAACGTATTCGCCGAATTACGACAGTTGCACTCACTACGAAGCGTTTCTAGAGCCTTTTTCGAACATTGTAACGCAGGCCTGACGATTTCTGATGCATCATCTTTCCCGCAGGTGCACCCTTGAACGGAGGAGGATTCATCAAATGGAAATCTCCACGGGGTATTTTAAAGCCGCTGCGGGGCCATCCCACTCTTTGTTTATGGCTTGACAAATTTCTTCGATCATAATAACGCAGACAGCTATGAGCCTCTGGTTGCGGCAATAAGGCATTCAGATTTTCGTTGGAGAAGGACTAAAAGACATCGTAGGAGGGCCAGAAAATCCGACTTTTATGTCATTCCGGCTTACGGCTTGGAGCAATCAGCGCAATTGAACGAACCAATGTGCGGTAGAATGTAAATTAAAAGGGCAAATCAGTGATTCTTGTGTGGTTTATAAACTTGGAAGTACATTGTTATTATTATCGATGCAGCATTTGTCCTGCTCTTTATTCATCACCACTGTTATAATTTTAATAAAAGCTTATAACTAGTGATGCACAGATCTGAAGAAATTAAGTCAGCTCCTGCTCCACAATTCTGAAAATCCGATAAGCCAGCCTCTGGAAAATTCGTTTCCGGCTTCAGCTCCAAGCATCCGATTACGGCTCCAGCTTCGGCTCCGAAATTTGCTTTACTTTGCTTCGGCTATGAAAGGAATTTGTCACATAGGCTCTGACTAATGAATTTTGCCACGATACTGCTGTTATTTTTCAAATCTGCGTTTTACGGCGACCCTCATGGGCGCCGTCATGGATGCGGGGAATTCCCTGAAAACGGAGGTCCTTGCGACTCGTCGTGGTGATTCATGCCCTCACGGGATATATTGTGCGAGGAAGGGATGCTCACAATCAGCATAAAAATGTGGATGCTTTGTGGTAATTCATAAATATGCTATTACCTACGAAAAAGTCTAACTTGCGAGTGATCGCTCGGTCTCAACTGTCGTCGTAATTCAGCGAACACCTGTACATCGATTGCCAAACTATTGATTCGTTTTATATGGCTGTAAAAATTTTCATCGAAGTGTTTTTTTATTCGGCCAATTTTGAATTCACTTATGAAGATGTTTACTTTAATCTTGGGACAACTTGTAACAATAACTTTTTATTGTAGTCATGTTGTAACTTTAAAAAATCTTCAATTATGAAAATAATGAATAATTTTGAACAGCTCAAGAATTTGTATTGCTGGAAAATCGCCATTGAAAATGACGGATTATCAGTACTTGATTTGAGCACATAAACCTGAGAAGACCGAAAATGATGACCCTCAAACAACCATGCTAATGAATGATCAATATAGATACTGTGCAGTGAAAAGAGCGAAGCCGAGCAACTGAGACAACTTCAGAAAATCGCTTATTCCTCAAAAATTGAGCACAATTGCCCTACAAAATATATACATTTCGAAAAGCAGAGAATCTGACAATCTGCAGAAAATAACGTGTTACTGGGAAAATCGGAGAGTACCGTTACCTTGAATATGGCAAACCCTTTAGTGCCATAGTAATCTGTGTATGGATCTATAGTGATACAATGTATACGAATGAGCGCCTCTGCGCGAGTTGAGATACATTAAAGAATATAGCTGTATCTCCTCAAGAAAGCAAAATCGCTCAGCAAGATATATATTTTTCTGAACGTAGAGGTACCGCTGGATCGAACGGTGTAAAGAAATTCACATGGTTCTGGACAAACTTGAGAATCCGCATGTCGCAGTGATCGATGTATATGAATGAGTGCGACTGCGCTATTTGAGATAGGTCCAGTAGAATAGCTATATCTCGTCAAGTAAGCAAAATTACCCAGCAAAATATACGTTTTTCTCCATCTAGAGGTTCCGCTGGATTTGAAGGTGTACAAATATTCGCATGTTATTGTTCAAAATTGAGGATACGGTAGGCACGAAGATGGCAAACCGTATATATTTGAGAAAAAAGCTTATCTCCTCAAGAAAGCAAAATCGCTCGGCAAAATACATGTTATTCCGAAAGTAGAAATACTGAGCAATCGAATGCTGCAAAGAAATTCATATGTTACCGGGCAAACCTGAAGGTACCGGTACCTTGAAGATTGTAAAGCCTATAGTGCTATATTAATATATAATATTGATCTATCGTGATACAATGTATTTGAATGAGTGCCTCTGCGCTAATTCAGATGGCTTTAGAAAAATAGCCATATCTCCTCAAGAAAGCAAAATCACTCGGTCAAAAATATGTTTCTCTTAATGTAGAGATTCCGCTGGATCGACTGGTGTAAAAATATTCATATGTTACAGGGCAAACTTGACGATACGGTATGCTCGAAGATGGCAAACTGTATATCATTGAGAAAATAGCTAAATCTCATCTAATCATAATTGCTCGGCAAATTTTATGATATTCTGAAAGTAGAGATTCTGAACAATCGAATGCTGCAAAGAAATTCATATGATACCGGGCAAACGTGAGAGAAACGGCACCTTGGACATCGTAACGCCTTTAGCGCCATACTAGTGTGTACAATTGATCTATAGAGATACAATGTATATGAATGAGCGGCTCTGCGCTAATTGAGATGGCTTTAGGAAAATAGCTATATATCCTCAACTAAGCGAAATCTCTCGGAAAAATATATTTATTTCTGAATACCTGATTCACTTGGATAGAATGATGCAGAGAAATTCATATGTTACTGTACAAAGCTGGGAGTACGGAAGGCTCCGAGATGGCAACCCCTATAGAAATGCGATAATAGCCATTTGTCCTCATGTAATCATTATTGCTCGATAAATGTATAATATCTGTTGATCTATAGTGATCAAATGGAAATCAATGAGCACCTCAGCGCTAGT